TTTCCATTCCTGAGTTACTTCACTTAGAATAATAGTCTCCAATCTCATCCAGGTTGCTCCATATGCAGTTAATTTATTCCTTTTTATAGCTGAGTAGTATTCCATTGAGATGTGTGTGTGTGTATGTGTGTGTGTGTGTGTGTGTGTGTGTGTGTGTGTGTGTGTGTGTTTATCCACTCTTTGATTGTTGGGCATTTGCATTGGTTCCACAATTTTGCAATTGCAAATTGTGCTGCTATAAAAATGTGTGTGCAAGTTTCTTTTTCATATAAATACTTGTTTTCCTCTGGGTAGATACCCAGTAGCTGGATTGCTGGATCAAATGGTTGTTCTACTTTTAGTTCTTTAAGGCATCTCCACACTGTTTTCCATAGCGGCTGTACTAGTTTACATTCCCACCAGAAGTGTAGAAACGTTTCCTGATCACTGCATCAATGCCAACATCTACTGTTTTCATGATTTTTTGATTATGGCCATTCTTGCAGGAGTAAAGTAATATTACATTGTAGTTTCGATTTGCATTTCCCTGATCATTAATGATGTTGAGTGCTTTTTCATATATTTGTTGGACATTTGTATACGTTCTTTTGAGAATTGTCTATTCATGTCCTTAGTTCACTTTTTGATGGGATTGTTTGGTTTTTTTCTTACCGATTTGTTTGAGGTCGTGGTAGATTCTGGATATTTTTCACATGTATAGATTGTAAAGATTTTCTCCCACTCTTTGTCTGTTTACTCTACTGACTATTCCTTTTGCCATGCAAAAGCTCTTTAGTTTAATTAAATCCCAACTATTTATCTTTGTTTTTATTACATTTGCTTTTAGGTTCTTGGTCATTAAATGCTTGCCTAAGCCAATATCTAGAAGGGTTTTTCCAATATTATCTTCTATAATTTTTATAGTTTCAGGTTTTAGATTTAAGTCCTTAATCCATCTTGAGTTGATTTTTGTATAATGTGAGAGATGAGAATCCAGTTTAATTCTCCTACATGTGGCTAGCTAATTATCCCAGCCTCATTTGTGGAAAAAAAAAAAATCCTTTCCCCACTTTAGGTTTTTGTTTGCTTTGTTGAAGATCAGTTGGCTGTAAGTACATGGATTTATTTCTGTGTTCTCTATTCCATTCCATTGGTCTATGTGCCTATTTTTATACCAGTACCATACTGTTTTGGTGACTATGGCCTTATAGCATAGTTTGAAATCAGACAGTGTGATGCCTCCAGATTTGTTCCTTTTGCTTACTTAGTCTTGCTTTGGCTATGCAGGCTCTGTTTTGGTTCCGTATGAATTTTATAATTTTTTTTCGAATTCTGTGAAGAATGACAGTGGTATTTTGGTGGGGATTGCATTGAATTTGTGAATTGCTTTTGGCAGTATGGTCATTTTCGCAATATTGATTCTACCCATCCATGAGCATGGGGTGTGTTTCCATTTGTTTGTGTCATCTGTGATTTCCCTCAGCAGTGTTTTGTAGTTTTCCTTGCAAAGGTCTTTTACCTTTTTGGTTAGGTACATTCCTGAGTATTCAATTTTTTTTTTCAGCTATTGTAAACGAGGTTGAGTTCTTGATTTGATTCTCTGATAGGTCACTGTGATGTATAGAAGAGCTAGATTTGTGTACATTAATCTTGCACTCAGAAACTTTGCTGAATTCTTTTATCAGCTCTAAGAGCTTTCTGGAGGAGTCTTTAGGGTTTTTGAGGTAAAAAATCATATCATCAGCAAACAGTAACAGTTGACTTCCTCTTTACTGATTTGGATGTCCTTTCTTTCTTGTCTGATGGCTCTGGCTAGGACTTTCAGTACTATATTGCAGAGAAGTGGTGAGAGTGGGTGTCCTAGTCTTGTTCCAGTTCTCAGAGGGAATACTTTTAACTTTTCACCATTCAGTATTGTTAGCTGTGGGTTTGTTATAGACATCTTTTATTACATTGAGGAATGTCCTTTCTATGACAGTTTTGCTGAGAGCTTTAATTATAAAGTGATGCTAGATTTTGTCAAATGCTTTTTCTGCATCTATTGAGTTATGTGATTTTTGTTTTTAATTCTGTTTATGTGGTGTATCATATTTATTCACTTTCGTGTGTTAAACCATCCCTGCATCTCTGGTATGAAACCCACCTGATAATGGTGGATCATCTTTTTGATACGTCGTTGGATTCAGTTAACTAGTATTTTGCTAAGGATTTTAACATCTGTGTTCGTCAGGAATATTGGTCTGTACTTTTCTTTTTTGGTTATGTCCTTTCCTGGTTTTGGTATTAGGGTGATGCTGGCTTCAGAGAATGAATTAGAGAGGGCTTCTTCTTTCTCTATCTTGTGGAATACTGTCAAAAAGATTGGTACCAATTCTTCTTTGAATGTCTGGTAGAATTCTGCTGTGAATCCGTCTGGTCCTGGACCTTTTTGTTGTTGTTGGTAAATTTTTAATTGCCATTTCAATCTCACTGATTGTTATTGGTCTGTTCAGGGTATCTAATTCTTCCTGATTTAAGCTAGGAGGGCTGTATTTTTCCAGAAATTTATCCATCTCTTCTAGGTTTTCTAGCTTATGTGCATGAAGATGTTCATAGTAGGCTTGAATGATTTTTTTTTTTTTTTGTATTTCAGTGTTATCAGCTGTAATATCTCCTGTTTCATTTCTTACTGAGGTTATTTGGATTTTCTGTCTTCTTTTCTTGGTTAATTTTGGTAATGGTCTATCAATTTTTCTTTTTCTTTTCAAAGAACCAGCTTTTTGTTTCATCTATCTTTTTTATTTGGTTGTTGTTGTTTCAATTTCATTTAGTTCTGCTCTGATCTTGGTTATTTCCTTTCTTCTGCTGGGTTTTGATTTGGTTTGTTCTTGTTTCTCTAGTTCCTTGAGGTGTGATCTTAGAAGGTTAGTTTGTACTTTTTCAGTCTTTTCAATGTAGGCATTTTGGGCTATAAACTTTCCTCGCTGTAGCCCAGAGATTTTGATAGGTTGTGTCATTATTGTCATTTGGTTTGAAGAATTTTTTAATTTTCATCTTGATTTTGTTTTTTGACCCAATGCTCATTCAGGAGCAGGTTATTTCATTTCCATGTATTTGCATGGTTGAAGGTTGTTTTTGGAGTTGATTTCCAGTTTTTTTCCACTGATCTGAGAGAGTGCTTGATATAATTACAATTTTATGAAATTTATTGAGGCTTATTTTATGGCCTACCATGTGGTCTATCTTAAAGAAAATTCCATGTACTGTTAAATAGAATGTGTATTTTGTGGTTGTTGGATGAAATAGTCTGTATATATCTGTTAAGTCCATTTGTTCCAAGGTATAGTTGAGATCCATTGTTTTTTTTTTTTGTTGACTTTCTGTCTTGTTGACCTGTCTAGTGCTGTCAGTGGAATTTTGAAGTCCCTCACTATTATTGTGTTGCTGTCTATCTCATTTCTTAGGTCTATTAGTAATTGTTTTATAAATTTGGGAGCTCCAGTATTAGGTGCATATATGTTTAGGATTGTGATATTTTCCTGTTGGACAGGCCTTTTACCATTATATAATGTCCCTCTTTGTCTCTTTTACATAATTGCTGTTGCTTTAAGGTTCGTTTTGTCTAATATAAGAATAGCTACCCCTGTTCCCCTTTGGTGTCCATTTGCATAAAATGCTTTTTCCACCCCTTTACTTTAAGTTTATTATGTCTTTATGTGTTAGGTGAGTCTCCTGTAGGCAGCAGATACTTGGTCATTGAGTTCTTATCCATTCTGCAGTTCTGTATCTTTTAAGTGGGGCAATCCAAAGGGCTGGTTTCACTCCCACTGTGCCCCCACCTAACATCCCTGAGTCTGTTTCCAGGCAGTGGGCGAGCAGGGCTTGAAAACTTGCCCCAGGCTATCTGCCTCCCAGCTGTGAAAGAACAGGGCTTGGTTCTTCCCCTGCCTGTGGATTCTGCACACCAGATTCACACCCTCCCCTGAGTTCCAGCCAGGAAGCTTCTCACTCTGTTCAAATTGTTACAAATTTCAGCTAGAGACTTCCTTCTCCCTGTGGTGTTTTCTCTCACACCTCTGGCTGCCCTCCCAAAGGGCCCCTGTGGTGCCAGGCAGGAATGGCCTGTTTGGGGACACACTGAGCTCCTGAGACCTTTCCCGCTGCTGCCTCGACCCCTGTATTTTGCTCAGCTCTCTAAATTGACTCAGCTTCAGGTAAGATTGGAAACTTCTCCCACAAACTAGGGAAAACTTCATTTTCCCCAGTGGGGGTGTGTGTTCAGGAGCAGATGGTCTCCCTTTCCCACTTCTGCAGGTTGGGCACTCGCAGTATTTGGGTTGTCTCCCAAGTCCTGCAGGAGCAGTCTGCTTTCTTCAGAGGGTCTGTGGGTCCTCTCAGGATTCTGGTTTATTCTTGCAGTCATTCTGGAACTAAAATTCATGATGCAAGCCTCTGCACACTGCTCTGTCCATCTGAGTTGGAGCTGCAATCTAGTTCTGCCTCCCATCTGCCACAATGACCTTTAAAAAGAATTCACAACAAAAAAGTGAGGCAGGCTTCTAACCCAGAACCCAGATATAAACAATGTTTTGTCATAGGAACCTTGTCATAGGAACAAGGTTCTTTTGTCATAGGAACCTTGACTTCAATTAATCTTCACTGGTCATAATTCTTCTTGACTTATTTACCCCTCATCTGCCATTCTAGGTTTATTGATAGACATCCAAAATGATCAGAGATTCTGAGATGTTACTTTTTCATTTCTGCTGCATGGTATTCTGGGGTTTCCCCACCAGCCAAACCAATGCAAAACTTGTCGCTGTAAACTCACCACAGGCTCATACCTTCAGTCTAGGTTTTTTTTCTCCTGGCATGCTATTTGTCACTCTTGTTAACTGCAATCAATTTCTATTTTCCTCTAAACTTCCATCTTTTAGGCTGAACTTGATCACAAGCTGAGTCGATGGGTAGGGGATAAAATATGGAAATGCTTCTCTTTCTAAATGTGATTATAAAATAGGAATTTGTTATGTCTTTTGCAGGCATATCTACAGCTCTTCAAATAAGCAATGTGATGTTAGAAAAAGTGCAGAAGCTCCTTGAGCACTTTTCAGGGCTAACCAGCTGCTGAGGAGGAACCTCCAGGAAGGAGAGAAGCACTCTGATCCAGACAGGGATTTACACCTAAAGTACCAACTCCACCATGTCTTCAGAACAGCTCTTCTAGACCTTGCATCCAATTGTGGTAACTACGAATATTTTATAGCTCACTTAGTCTCCAGTATTGTTTTTCATTAACAATATATTTTTTAGAGAGATGAGGTTTATCCATGTTGCCCAGGTTGATCTCAAACTGCTGGCCTCAAGCCGTCCTCCCACCTCAGTCCCCCAAAGTGCTAGAATTACAGGTGTGAGCCACTACAGCTGGACCCAAGATGTATTTTTAACCATAATTGGGGCAAGTAACATGTTTAATGGAAAAAATAGATAATTTTTGAATTTTGTGATTTGGAAGCTTATTGCTAACAGTGCTAAAGAAAAGTTAAAAACACTCCAAAGCGTGTCTTTAAGACTGTGGTACACATTGATCGAAGTGAGAAGATAACCAGTTAACTAAGGTTTCTTTTGTCCTTATTTCACTCTTGTATTAGTTATCCACTGCTGCATAACAAATTGCCCCCAAAGTCAGCAGTGCAAAAAAACATTTATTATGTTAGTTTCACAGTATTCACAGTTTATGTGAGTCAGGAATCCCAGTATTTTTCAGCTGGATGCCTCTGGCTCAATGGCTTTTGTGAAGCTGCAGTTAAGTAGTCACCTAGGGCTGGGGTTGGGGCTGTGGTCTCCACTGAAGACTCCACAGGGGAAGCCAGCTCTAAGCCCACTTACCTAGTAGTGGTCAGGCCTCATGGGCAGTTAGACAGTGGGCTCTATTCCTCACTGGCTGTTGGCTGAAGGCCTCCTTCAGTTTCTTGTCACATGAACCTCTCCGCAGGGCTGACTTTAAACACAACTGGCTTTTTTCAGAGTGAGGGATGAGAGAGAAGGAGAAAAAGGATACTCAAGAAAGAAGAAAGAAGCCATAGTCTTATCATGACTTAATCTCAGGAGTGACACTGCTTTACTTCTATTGTTTTCTATTTTTTGGGGAGTGAGTCGCTCTGTCCAGCCCACATTCAAGGTGAGAAGGTTGCAGGAGGCAAGGATAATTGGAACCCATCGTAGGCTTACCACAGCCCACATTTCCAAATACTTTAATGTGTAATCCATGATGGAGAATGTCTTGAACTAGTTTCACTGAGATTCATCAATCATTAGCTACAGAAGAAAATCTGAATTCCTTTGGAAATGCATTGTTTCAAACTAGTTCATCCAGTTTGCAAACACATGCCCCTAGACAAGGGTTGATTTATTCCTCATCTTTGTAACCCTTCTTTTTCCACTCCCCCCATATGCATATTTTCCATTTTAAGCCCAGTCTATCAGCTTCATTTATTTATCTGAAAGTATCAAAGAAACAAACACAAAAATATCTGACAGGCTTTGCCCCAACTAGCTGAATGGCTTCAGTAAAATCACTTAACTGTTACGGGTCTTGGTTCCTTCATCTACTGAAAGAATGGCTTGATCCCAATGATCTCTTAGGCCTCCCATAGCTTTAAAAGTCTATAAGATTTTGATTCCATGTGTGCAAACTAGGGATGTAATTAAATGCGTGGCAAAAATAAAGATTTCAGGGGTCTATAGTGAAAGTTAAATGAATGAGGCTTGGGAATTTTATGAAGCACTTTGTACACTCCAAAGTGCTATGCACATGTAAGGATTTACTCTTATTTAACCCTTATCATGAAGAGGTCAGGGCAGAAGGGCACAGTAGTGACAGTAGTCTTCTTATTCAGCTAGTCAGGTGGTCCCCCGTGTCACTCTCTTAGGTCCATACTTTCCAAGTGGAAAAACACCAGGAAGGGAGTCAGCAGGGAAGTGACCTGCGAAGGAAATGTTGAACGTATTTTAGATTCTCAGTGTGCTGGGAACTCGGGGCTTCTGTGACCTCCACGCACACTCTTTGGCCCTCCATAGCAAGAACTTCTCTCCTGGTGCCCACTCCTGCAAATTATGTCTTCCCTCTGCCAGCCACCTTCCATCCTTTTGCCCCTTCCTTCTGAGATCCCCCTATTCCTTGGATAGTGACCCCCCTATGTAGCTCATCGATCAGTGCCAGCTCCAGCTGGTTCCGTAGCACATTGCTAAATATGAGGCCTTTTACATATCCTTGAGTATACACTTCTATGCACACAAAAGATCATTCAGGGGTTTTGTCTGGTATTTAGACAGCAATGTTAAATTTATTAGGGTTCCATATTTAAAAATGCAATGCATCTTTAAGCTTTTGTGTTCATCTACTAAATCCTATTATTTTACTTACAAAAATTTCTGGCAAATTTTAGTAATCACAGTTAAGGATCCCTTGAATAATATTTGGTCTCATTTTATAAACCAAGTTAATTAAACATCTTTGCATATTTTCAATTACATTTACAAATGTAAGTACTTTTAAGCACTTCAATCTTCAGTTTCTTGGTGGGGGTTGGGGGCAGTGGGAGGGCAGGGACAGGGCCTCATTCTGTTGCCCAGGCTGGAGTGTACTGCCATGATCATAGCTCACAGCAGCCTCAACCTCCTAGGCTCAAGCAATCCTCCGGCCTCAGCCTCACAAGTAGCTAGGACTACAGACATGTGCCACCATGCCTGGCTAGCTTTTGTATTTCTTGTAGAGATGAGGGTCTTGCTATTTTGATCAGGCTGGTCTCAAACTCATGGCCTCAAGTGATCTTTCTGCCTTGGCTTCCCATGTGTTGGGATTACAGGTGTTAGCCACTGTGCCTGGCCCAATTTTCTAATAGTAAAACTTCCTATACATTTAAGTATTCACTGAAAATTTAATCAAGCAGATTTCTAAATGTGATTAATCAAATTTAAGAAAATGTTCATATGTTGTTTACAAATTTAGTAAATATATTAGCCAGTATAGGTTAGGCTATGGTATGATAACAAGTAAGCCTGAAATCTTGATAGCTTAAATGTGTCAAAGAGAATCAGTGGGGCCCATGATTCATTTGGGGCAATGAAAACTTGTGGTATTTCCAAGTAGAAGCTGTCAAGAACAGCATGTCTCCTCCATCTCTCCTTTCTTTGTGAAAGTGACCTGGCTGGTGCAGCCACTGGATTGGGGAGGTCATGTGGTCCATACTGGATTTGCCTGAAGGAGAAACACACTTGGATTGTGTTGTAAGAGGCCATGAAAGACTGAATTGTCTACTGGGAATTCCACATGTCCTTGTTTGGGAGAAATCAGCCAGAGTACCATTCACATCAGCTTTTATTTAAAAATGCTAGGCATGAGAAGATTCCAAACGGGAGTTCTAACTTGGGGAAGAAGGGCAGAATGTTTTGTAGGGCTTTAGCAAGAGGGTGCTAGCTGAAGTTCAGCCATCAGCAGCAGTCATGTGTCCAGAGAGTTTGAGAAGGGGAAGGAATTGTTTTAGTGAATTAGTAGTGATAGTTTGGATGGTTTGAATTTTATCAAAGGGATGGGGCAGAACAGTTAGGGGTTAAGGTCATGTACAAACAAAAGAGGGAGGAGGAAGCCCAGCTGTTGGTACGAGGACATGTGGGATCCCCAGTGGACAATTCAGTCTTTCATGCTCTTTCACAAGATGATCCAGATGTGTTTCTCCTTCAGGCAAATCCAGTGTGGATCACATGGCCTCTCCCATCCAATGCCTGTACGGACCAGGTTGCCTTCATGAGAACAGGAGAGATGGAGAAGACATGACTGCTCTTGACTGCCTCTACTTGAAAGTACCACAAGTTTTCATTGCCCCAAATGAATCATGGGCTCCAATATGACTGCCAGGGGCATCTGGTGGGGTTGAATTTGCTTTGACACATTAAAGTTTTATCTAAAACCACAAGTCTAAATCAGAAAGTATTCATGTATGCCTCTGAAGTGGGCATTTTAAAGCTGACCTGTTATTCTAACAGGCAATTTCTTTTAAACATTAATGAAATATACCACATAAGTAGAGATTCTTAACTTGATAATATCAATGATACAGTTTTGATTCTCTAAAAGATTTACATGTTTAGTTCTGTATCTTTCCAGTGTTTCTGACTATGCAAGGTTTGGGGATTACGATTATCACAAACAGGGATTTTAGCCAGGATGCTGACCATATGAATTCATGCCTATACCTGGAGCATTATAATTAAAATACAGACTCATCACTCTCAGAATCTAGACAGCTCATATCCCTGCCGTGCTCACAGGATAGGGTAAAGCCCAGGTCAGAACCTATGCTGGCTATTGCCTCACTATCTCGGGTGGCATTTCTTTGACTCTTAAGACCTGCAAATGTCTTTTTCATCCAAATCCAATACTTTTGAACTTGATGGAAGCTTGCATTCTTTTCACAACTTTTATGAGTGTCAACACATTAAATGGAGGAGAAAGAAAGAAGCTGTATATATCTTGAAGGCAGAGGATAAAAGAGGAAGATGCCACCAGGGTGGTTTAAGAATAGAACTCTCCCTTCGGTATATGCCCAGTAATGGGATTGCTGGGTCAAATGGTATTTCTAGTTCTAGATCCTTGAGGAATCGCCACACTGTCTTCCACAATGGTTGATTCTATTATAAAGATACATGCACGAGTATGTTCACTGCAGCACTGTTCACAATAGCTAAGATTTGGAACCAACTCAAATGCCCATTAATGATAGACTGGATAAAGGAAATGTGGCATGTATACACCATGGAATACCATGCAGCCATAAAAAAGGATGAGTTCATGTTCTTTGCTGGATATGGATGAAGCTGGAAACCATCATTTTCAGCAAAGTAACACAGGAACAGAAAAGCAAACACCACATGTTCTCACTCATAAGTGGGAGTTGAATAATGAGAACACATGGACACAGGGAGGAGAACATCACACACTGGGGCCTGTTGGTGGGGGAGGGGCAAGAGGCGGGAGACCATTAGGAGAAACACCTAATTTATATAAGTAAGACATGGTGAGGGCCTGCATCAGAAATCAAGCCTGTGCAGATGGTAGAAGAAAATGAACCATGCTTTAAGGAGATGAACATGGAAAAGCACAAATCCCTGGCTGAAGCAAGAATGTTGAGTCAGGAGTTAGGGAGATCATATAAGTGCCGTAAACAGCAAAATGGGAAACAGAACTATCAGAAAATTCTGCAATTCAGAGAAAATAGAATTCACTTCTGAATTAAATACTCAGCCAGCCACACTGCCCTTCCTGTCCTGACCCTTTTGACCTGTCTTTCACCAATCCTAGCTCCCAGATCTGCCCTGCAGGCTTCCCAGTGTCCTGGCCCAGCCTCGTCTTCCTTCCAGAATCAACCCCATCACTGACTTGCTGTCTGACCAGAAACCAACCCCATCACACTCTAGATCCCAGTTTCCACATCTGTAAACTGCGAAAAGTAACACTAGCACTTCCCAGATTGCCGTGGGGACTAAGTGAGGCAGTGGCTGTGAAAACACCTGATAAATGTCTATAAAATACCATATAAATGGGAGGTGTTGTTACTGATGAAACAAAAATAAGAGAGAATGTTAGTGAAGAGACAGGAAGAAAGGCTGTGTTTATAGTCCCACACCGGATTTAAGGCACTGTAGGGACCACGCACTCAAACACACATGGGCTTTGGATGTCACGTGGTGAAGCCAGGCCTGGGATTGAATCCTGGCTTCACCACTATCTTGCTCTGTGACCTCGAGCAAGTCCGCTCACCCCTCTGAGTCTCCATTACTTCATCTATAATATAGGATAATAACTCCTCCCTTACAGTGTTTTGTGAGAATTGAAAGAGTTAACATATTACAAGTTGCGTCATAACATATAATTGTTCATAGTTGCTTCTGTGAACTCCGTAAAAGGAGTTCAACAGTGTTGGCTTCCTTCTTCCACTCTTATATTATTTATTCCTGGAAAATAATATAGTTACGCCAGAAACTCATCTTTTTTTAACTGGTCTGAATTTTTATTCTCTTCCTCTCATTTTCAGGAGTCATTAATTATCAACGAACAAAATCTCCGGGTGCCCGAAGGACCTAGCCTATGCAGAAACCTGTGAACTGCTGATGAGAACGCAGTGAGTCAAAAGAATAATGGAATTAAATAAGTTCGGAGTCTTTAAGTGTTTCTTAAAACTCTTATCTATAAACCCCTAATCTTACTAATTTCCGGCACACTTGTTATTCATAAACATTTGATCGTCGTTCGTAGAAGATCTAACAAATTAACACAATGGATTGTTTTGGTGATGAAGGGACAGTATACTATTCCATTTAGCTTGTTCAGGGCACTTGAGTCAAATCCCTTGAGTCCTCACTGCATCAGACAGTCCATGAAATCCTGATGGCGATATCATAATTATCCATAAAGTTAGAGTATTCACTAATTAAGAATGCTGAAGAATGAAGTATATTAAATGGGTCATCCTGCATTTTTTTTTTTTTTTTTGAGACAGTGTCTCACTCTGTTGCCCAGGCTGGCGTGCAGTGGGGCAATCTCAGCTCACTGCAACTTCTGCATCGTGATTCTTCTGTCACAGCCTCCCAAGTAGCTGGGATTACAGGCACGTAATGTCTGGTTGATTTTTGTATTTTTAGTAGAAACAGAGTTTCACCATGTTGGCCAGGCTGTCTCTAACTCATGACTTCAGGTGATCCACCCACCTCAGCCTCCCAAAGTGCTGAGATTACAGGCATGAGCCACTGCCATGTTGCACCTTAGAATGAATTTGTGTTTGTGAGGTAGAGGAGAATTTCATTCAAAATTAAGAATCACTAAAGATGGGGTATTAATAGGAAATGAAAAATAGCTTTTATTCCAATGACTTAAATAGCATTGCATTGGTCGAATTACTAAGATGTTTCTACATAGAGAACTTTAGAAAGCAAATCCTGAAGGGTGCAGACAGGGGAAGGAAAAATGAAGAGAAATGGAAGAAGACAGGGAAGGGAAAATGAGGAGGAAGGAGAAAGAAGAGGAGGAGAGGGGGAAATTTGGAAAAGGCTGGAAGAATTTGCTTTCTTCACATTCTGGTTCCCAACTTGGTCCTCTTTTGGCAATAATCAGGCCCTGGGGGAGAGAGGAGTGAAAAACAGAAAGGGTAAAGAAGAAAATAAAATAAACAGATAGAAAAGAAGAAGACCGGGAGAAATCTGAAGGAGAAAAGAAGAAATATAGAAGACACAGAGAACATGGTATGTTAAAATGACACACAAATGAGAGTTAAGCTTAGTTCAGCAAAAGTTTTGAACCCCTCAAGTGTGCCAGGTGCTGTACTAGGAGCAGCAACACGAAGATGAAGGAGACATGGCCACTGTTGTGGAGGCCCTCACAGGAAAGGACCAGGGTTGAGAAGAAAGTAAGTGAACGCCAAGAAAACTCGCATTGCGTGGATTATTTGGAGGCTCAAAAGGGGTCAAATGCTTTTTCTCTAAGCATTTTTGGTGATGAATTCCCATTTCATCTAATGTGGTTTCTACTTGACATTAGCTTTTGGACATTTTCGAAAGATTTCTGAAATTGACTCCTTAGTAGGAGGCTTGGGGGTGGGGTGGAGGGAAAAGGATGTGTGTAGCTTTGCCTCAGCAAGTTTCCTTCCCCTTCCAAACAGATGTTGTCTGGCTAGCGCAGCACAGCAGAAAACATGACTACTGGATTTGGCACAAAAAGCACCAATTAACCTATGTTGATTGAGTCACGTAAAAGCAACAGGGCTCACTTAGCGTTGGATGCTGTTTAAAGAAGGAGAGTGTCAGCCCGAATTGCTCACTCCCATCACGTTCCGCATCATGGTCAGCCCAGCTGCAGGGGCTGTCCCCCACCCGTCTCCCTATCCCCTCGCCCAGCCTGGAGCCCTGCAGGCTCGTGCTGGGCCCTCAGCAGACTGCAAGCATGGAAGACGAACCCAAGATTCAGCTGCTCCAAGTATGTCTGCTTCGAAATAATGAGAATAAGAGAATAAAGGGTCCTCTCCTCCTCTTGCTTCTTTCCTCTTAATCTGCCCCTCCCCTTCTTTCTCCTTCCACACCACTTACCAAACTGTGGGAATCTCTCTCTTTCCCTCTCCTCTTCTCTCACTTTTCCCTCTTTCAGCACCTTCTCTTTATGCTGGTGACAGGCTCAGGAGTCCCTACATTTTCTAGGCCTAGAGCAGTGGTTTTCCAACTGTTCCTGAGAAATTCCTGCACAGCTAGTTTAAACTCAGGCAGGCAGGCCCCACCACTTATGCCTATAATTAAAGAAGTTTGGAGCATGGCCTACGACTCAATATGCTTCCCATCCTGCCCCCCACCCCCGCTAGTGATTCTGGTACAGGTGCTGTACAGATAGAGCCCTGGGAAATGCTGGCCAGATGCACAGAGCAACACTGGTGTGCACAGCCAGAAGACAGCTCGAATAGAGACCTGTCTCCCTTGTGTCTGTGTCCTGGTTTTGCTCCTGCCTGTCTGACCCTTCATCATTGGCTCCTCCTCCTTTGCCCACCACTTAGATGTTGCTAGTCCCCAGGGTTCTATTCGCAGTCCATTTCTGTTATCCTACACACTGTCCCTGATGGCTCTCATTCAGTCCTGTAAATGAGAACAACACCTCTACATTGAAGGCTCAAATGTTTATTTCTAGCCCAGAGCTCGCTTCAAAGCTCCAGGCACGCATTTCTACCTGGATGGTCGTGGTAAGCTCAGGCTTACCATGCTCAAGACTTAGTTCATGGGACCATGGTTCAAGAGGGAGAAGCATACTGAACCCTGTCGCTGTTTCCCAGTGGAGCTCTAGCACCTGGGACAACAATTGTAGGACTCTGGAAATTGGGAAACAGGACCAGAATTCAAGGTACCGCCAAATAGATGGCGACCTTCCCACTTTTCCCCTGGCATCCCCCAGCCTAGACTCAGGGCAGCCAGAAACTTGGAAGTGAGACCAGGACCAGCATGCACACAGACAGCTCCAGGAGACACCCCTTAGCCCTGGCTTGAAGAGTGGGAAAGGGAGCTCCTGAAGGTCGACCCCTGTGGTGCTTTCTCCTGGCTGTTCTCTAGCACTAGCCCCAGTCAGTCCCTCCAGGGTGGCAGCCGTGAGAACAATGGCAGCAAGTCCCAAGGGGGAAACACTTCTGCCATCCTGTGACTTGCTTTTGTTTGCCTAGTGGTGTGGTTTGAAGAATAGATGTTAATTTTAACCAAGTCCAATATGTCTTTTATATTTCCTCAAATATTTACCATTTTTAATGTTCATCCTTTCTTCCTGTAGCTTGGAATTTTCATTTGGTGTTATTTTTCTTCAGCCTAAAGGATATCTGTGAGGCTTTCTGGTAATGTGGGGCTGTTGGCAACAAATTCTCTCAGCTTTTATTCATCTAAATTACATATGTGTGCGTGTACATACACGTATATACATACACATATATATATATATATATATATATTTGCTGTATATGCAATTTCAAGTTGGTATTTTTTCATTCATGATTTTAAAGATACTGTTCCATGTCTTCTAGCTTCCTTTTTTCCTATGAGAAATTAACCGTCATGTTATACACCTCTATATAATATGTCTTCTTTCTTTTGATGCTTTTAAGATTTATTCTTACTCTTCAGTTTTCAGCAGTTAGACCCTGATACAGTTAGTTATGTTTTTATTTGCACTTACCCTATTTGGGGTTTGTGGGTTGCTGTTTTCAGTCATGAATGTGTGGGTTGCTGTTTTCAATCAAATTTAGAGATTTTTCAGATAATATAGTTGCATTCTTTTTTTCCTGCTCCATATTCTTTCTCCTCTCCTTCTTAAATGTCAGACCTTTTGAGACAATCCTACAGCTCACTGGGGCTCTGCTCAGCTAAAAAAAAATCTCTTGCTCTCTGTCCTACAGTTTAGTGCCTGCTATTGGCCTTTCACCATGGTCACTACTCTTTTCTTTTGTTGTGTTAAATGTCCCATTAATCCCAGGAAATTAATTTGTTAAAGATAGTGTTTTTCAGTTGTAGGACTCTGACTTGCTGCTTTTTACAATTTACATATCATTTCTGACAATTTCCTAATTTTTCACTCATTATACACATGCTTTCCAGTAAATTCGTAAACATATTTACCATAACTATGTTAAAAAATGTTGTCAATTTCAGCATCTGGCCAATTTCAACATCTAGTTATTCTGTAGGTCTCTTTCAATTTTTATTATTCTCTGGGCTATGTGTCACACTTTTCTGTCTTTGTAAGTCTAATAAATTTTAATTTCATATTAGATATTGTGGGTAATACTTTATAAACACTCTGGATTCTGTTATCTTCCTCTGAAAAACATTGACTTTTGTTTTAGAAGGTAGTTAAATGACAGGCAGATGAACTTGATTTATGAAGCTTGGTTTTAGCCTTCGTTAGAATGGTTTTATTTTAGTTTTACAACTAGCCTAGGATGAATCCTTAGTCCTAAAATTAAAACTTCTGGGTTTTAATTTTAATAGTTTGACATGTTTTTCAAGTCTGTCTAACGTATCAGGACTTGAATTCCAAACTGTCTGCCTGTACTGGGCAGCTACTGAAATCTCTGCAACAGCTTCCTAGCTTTTGTTTTCTCTTGAGCATCTTGGAGTCTTATCCCATGCCTGTGTAGACTAGGGATCAGCCAATTATTTGAGGGAAATTTCTGTATAGCCCCAAACTCCATCTTCTGATTCCTCAGTCTCATAAGACTGCCACTTTCTGCTTCAGCTCTGTGGGCTACATGTGGATGGACTGGAAAGCATATTTAGGGAGAAAAAACATGTAAATGTGAACTTCACTCAGTGAAGGTCAAATCCCCACCAGTTTCTGCTAGCTTTTGTTCATCTCCCAATTGTTTGGTTGTTTGTTCCCAGAGTTTACAATAGTTACTGGCAGGAAAGTGTTCAAACTTTTCGCTTTGCCATTAGTCTCTTTTTTATGATTTTCATCTGTTTTCTCTTTGTTCTCTTCTGGATAATTTCATCACATTTATCTTTCCATGCATTAAGTCTTCCTGTAGCTTTGTTTGGTGACAATTTAATCTGTCAATTGAGTTTTAATTTCAATAATTATGTTTTTTATTTCTAGGAATTCTATTTTTTCTAATCAGCCTTTTATTTCTCTGAAGCTCTTGTTTGTTTCTTACATTTTAAATTCCTTTTGAGCTCCTAGTCATTTTGACAATGTCTATGTTTATAATCTCTCCCTGGGGCTTGTATTACCTACATATCCTCAAGGGTCAATCAAGTTACTTATTCAGTCAATTGACTACTACTCTTGGTCGATGGTATCATTGTGTGTTTGCATTTTTGACTCCGTTTTGGATTTTGAATTTATCTAGAGCCGAGCTTTATCTGTTGAAATGATCTGTGGTCCTTGGTGAAGGGTACTGCCTTCCAAAGAGGTTTTGTGTTGAATTGCCAGATAGCCCAGTGCTGTCACTGGCCTGGGCACACTTTTCACTA